GTCTACAATCCACCAATTCTAAGCAAAACTAGTTAGTGTCTCGACCTGCTTCTGATCTGGTGACCTGACCTTTGACCCTAAAAAACAAAAGGTACCCTCCTCTGGCTATAAAGTTTACCTGTGCTAAGTTTAAAGTTGATCAAATCTGGCAATACAGAGGTATCATCCAGCAACAAATTTTCTATATCCTTCTCTTGCGACCTTGATTTTTGACCTTGAAGATAAATGCACCTTTCTCTAGCCAGAAGCTTTAAACGTGTTATGTTTGAAGTTGATCAGATAATGCAATGAAAAGATATCGTCTGGAAGTGACTGTGCCTGCCGCCCACAAACAGGATTACATAATACCCTGCAACTTGGTGCTGGGTATAAAAAGTATAACTGTTGTATATAGATTAATTCAACCAGTGTGTATTTCTTACCTTGAGAGTTTTAACAGCAACAGTTTTGTTGTAGCGCTTCCAAATTGCCTCATATACATCGCCATACTGACCTCCGCCTGACAAAAACATATGAAATATTATTAAGAACTTTTATTCGTTTCTCACGATCCAACTTTTAGACAGGAAGTGAAAAGTGTCTTAATTGGAGACAGGTGACAAGAGATCTTTAAACATGAAAAAACAGTAAATTCTCTCAGAAAGACCATAAATTCTCAATGTGTAGTCGTAATCCAGAAGTAGAGTGGTTCCTGTAGGCTTGTTAGTTTGTACCTATAACCATAGAAATTCCCCCTGCTCTCTCATACTGAAAGGTATGAATAACAGAGCAAAGAAATGTCTAATGAAGTATTTTTATCTTACCCTTTAAAACTATCTTCCGAAATAACAGGATAGAGTTGAATAGAATTAGCCATCTGCACTTAAACAATTGGTTCTGGCAGTCTCATGAAATCCAATAAGTATACCAGAGGTATATGTTGGTCATCATGATAAGACATGATTTCTTAGCATTTCATTATTCTCATTTCAAGGTCAAGATCACAATTAAAAGTCAATCGTTAAAATGTTGTAATTTGGTATATTGATTTTTTTTACAATAAGAAATAAGCACTGAAGTTACAACTGCATTACGTCATATGAGTTTTTGACAATGTCATCAAATTGTGATTATGTGATGCACACAGATTTATCTTCCACCTTAATATTCTCCTATGGATATCCTTACCTTTCCCTCCAAATATGGGGAAAATATCAACATTTCTGTGTTCAGGATATGATTATCACCTCACTACAACTGAAGTCTATTTAACAAGTTAAATAAACAATACTACATATTTCAGTAGCATGTGTGTTGCATACAACTTCTACAATTGTCATATCTGTATCAGTGGCTCAATGTAATATCTTAATATTCAATCAACCTATCTGACAGAAATTGTACACTTATACTAGAAAGGATTTTACCTTGCCTGTAATAAGTACAGGGGGCCTTGTCTTTGGAAAGAATATTTAAAAGGAGTAAAACTCATTTCCCAATTTGACCCTTGAAGAGAAGGGGGCTTATTTTTTGATAATGGGCTTAACAACTGTACTGTAAATTTGTTCAATGTTGTGTATTGTTACTCATAAATATTACTATGTCAACCAATACCTAGCCTGTGTTTCATGGCAATTTCCGTGCGTTCGATCTCCCATCGGTCAGGCTCGGGGCTAAGGCCGAACACTGTTGGTTTGGTGCGTTTTGGGGCAGGGTATAGCAGCGTGGTGACCAGGCCATCTGAGTGTATGGAGTGGTGGTGGACAAGTTCTGCCAGCGTGTTAAAGCGGTGCTCCTGAGTCACAAACACCTGTCACACACACACAAATTCTCGTAATTAATTAAAGTCTGTTTCAGTCTAGACACTAGGGTTTTCAAGGATAAAGATAACTGGGGTTAACTTACTATCTTGTAATTTCTTTAAAAAAGCTGTTTTTATGAATAAAATGTCCCATAATACAGTATCTTTCATTCATACTATACATAACTAATACTTCACAATCAATCACCACTATTTCCATTTAGTCTGAAATGATATTTCAGTAATTCCATTTTTGATTTGTTTGTTTAACAAACTAGAACCAGCAGCTGATTCAGCATGCTCTAACATTAAACATTTCAGGAGATGATCTTCATAACCAGGAATAACAAACGATATCTGACAGGCCGATGTGCCCCTTACAGCTTAACCACGTCAATTCCATTCTGTGACAATCAACGATAATTTTTTCAGATCAGTCTGGTTTCACAAAATTAATTGGTTTCACAACATGGAGAATTGTAGTTGACTGTTCAATCAATACTGCTGAAACAGAATTATGAAGTTTCCATGGTATCATTTTCCAAATCAATTATGGCCAGTTTAATTTCTCAATGAAAACTGACACCTCATCTCTGTACATCTAATCTCTTCAACTGCTGCATACACAGCAAATAAATTTGATTATTATAAAAAAAAATATCGCTATAATTGTGTTTATTTCCTTTAATCAGAAGCAAGTATCCCATGTCCTGTTTTCTCACAACCAACATAAATCTTGGACTTTGCTAAGGATGAAGTTATGTACCCAATCAAAATGATATGTCACGTTTTGTCATATCTTTTTCTATCAACAAAGTTCATGCAATCTCTAGATTTAAATTTTGTTGATCAATAAGGACCATATATACAATTTGCCATACTCAGAGCTATAACAGTGAACACAGAATGTTTGTTAGTGACCAACATATAGATTTATCATTGAAGATACTTAAATCCGTTTTTTCAAAACCATTCATGCAATGCAACCAACTTTGAAGCTAAAACACTGGTAATGAGTGAAGTATCATACTTAACACTGTACATGTATTTTTTTTAGATTGGTATGAAAATTAACCTTTCCATCGGAATCCTCGCTGATCCTGTAATGGTAGACCCTTCCCTCAAACCTGACTGATATCGACCTTTGACCCGGGCTGCTCTCACTCTCCCGGACCAGGAAGCTTCCATTGATGCCACTACTGAGCAGGTACTCCGATGCGTTCCGAGAAATCTGTCCATGGTACCAGGAAAACTTATCAAGGCTGTTGACCGGTGCGATGTAGTTGCTAGGCACCCAGCCGATGTCCCCGGCCTTGTTTTTGACCTCGCACCACTCGCCTCCCTTGTTATAGCCCAGGATGGTCACCTGTTCACCTGCAGTTATGACATCTGAGAGTTAGATATATACTTATTCTAGTCTCAAGTTTGCCCTTTGTCAAAACATCTACATGCATCATGCCAACGTGCAAAATGCAGACACTTATCACTATAAGCTACTCGAAATAAAGGGAACAGATAACTACAAAACAACAAGGAAGTTTACATCAATAAGCTAAGAGTAACAGTGAAAAAAATGAAGAAACGTCTTAAACCATACCAAACAACATCAAAACTAGACTTATTAATATTGAATAGCAACTTCAAACTTTACTTACATTATAATTACCGGTACCACAATGCATATCTCAGAAAGTCAAACAACTTGTAAAATATCTAATAATTCAGCCAACATCTTCCTCACAATTCTTCTGAATGAAAAACGTGTCCAACATATTCTTCTGATCATTTACAGTAGACTATTTATTAGTGGCATCCCCAATAGATTTGAATAAGATAAAAAAAAACATTGCGATAGTATCAATGTAATTCCACCAACTAAGCAGAATATTCATGTTGATGATAATTTCTGCCTAATATATATCTTTATCTATATGCGTTGTATAAAGTTATCAAAACATACACACAAGATACACACACTGTAGGCAACTAAAGATTACAGAATGGCAGATTTACAGAGATAACAACCAAGAGAAGTAGAGGTACAACAACAAGATCAACAAGCAACACTGAATATTTAAAAAATAAAATTAAAAAAATATGTACATGGAACAAAAACAAGAAGTAAACGAAATAAATGACTTTTCAACGAGATGCAAATGTAGACTTAAGTCAAGATCTTCAGATAACGATACGTTCACGATAGATTTATCATAGGCAGAGCAAAAATTCAACACTTCCAAGCTTTCAATTCACACATAAGACTACCACTAATACAACATACAGGAGAAAGATGAAGGTTCTTTGACAATGTACAGCTATAAAAGTGAATTAAAGTGGGAGGAACAACACAAGCAGTCATGGGATATAATACCCTCTAAAATTCAAGGGAAAGAAAAATCTGTCATTAGGGAGATGTAACAGTCAAATTCAATTGAGATTAATCAGATTGAACTTTCAAGGGAGATGACTCTAGCAGTAAAAAGAACTTATTTAGCTTTAAGAGTCAAGGGAGATAATAATATTTGATCAAATAAGTGGAATTTGCAACTCTTGGAGTCAAGAGATCATATAAAGCTCTAACAACTAAGTGAGAAAGTCAATGGAAATACTTCATTCAAACAGACAAGGGAGATAATCAACTCTTGCAGTCCATGCATCATCAACCCTTACAGTTAAGGGAGAAAAGTGCTCTAAGAGTCAAGGGGAGCAATCAAACTCCAGCAGTAAACTGATTTTCATACAAGCAATAACAAACACAATAAATCAAATATACCGATCACAATATTTCACTTCACACAATAAACTAAACATTTGGGTTAACTGTTAGGTATTAAACTGGCCTATTAATCATATAAACTTTTCTACCAATATGCAAATAAGCTTGATGAAACAATATATACTTTTATCTGAAAACATCAAACCCATGGTCAAGCTCTGATGTCTGTCAGTTTTTAACTAGCCACGTGGTTAACCCTGAGTGCCACTGTTACATTAACATCCACTGTCAGGTTGTTAATGCTGTCACTGTTTCCAAGGTTAGAGGACACATTCTGTCCATTTTATCGTAATCAATATCCATTCTTAATTGATGGTCTTAAGACACCGGACTCCTATTTAATTTCACAGCACAGATAGACATTTCACTGATTTTCAAAGAATAAATGCCTTTTCATCCATCATCCAATTGCATTGTTTCACAGAAAGGAACACACTTTTTGTTGACTACATTCAAAGATATTCCAAACAAAGGTTTCTAACCTACATCCTACACAGACACACAGAAGCGTTTCTTTCTGTCCTGTATGTTCTTCCTTGATTAATTTCCAAACTTCCTTCAAAATAGCACGGTTACACAAAATACCACATTGTTCCTGCATTTATTTCATGACTATTTTCTTCCTTTCCAAGGCTACGCTACAGATACGACATTTTCAGAATTATTTACTTTCTCTCTCCTTGTTGCATCTTGAAACACAGTCAATAAATCCTACAACTACACAACTACAGCCATCTTCTATGCAAATCCAAAAAGATTTAAATATTTCATTGCATAAAACAATATCCAGCAATCAATTGGGGTAGCTACATTAATTATGCATGGTCTGGCTGGGGGATTGAACTTGGTCAAGAAATCCATGGGTCTGTACCAGTAAATGCCCTGTGATAAAGAGTTGATAACATTTCTGATATGGAAGTCCTAATCAACACTGCATCACATCCTTTTTCTTGATATATTGCAAACTAAAACCCTTTATGCATATGTGTATATTTCTGAACTTGTTAATATCTGTATAATATATGACACTAAGACAGGAATAGTTGCTCCTGACATTTCTTTCAGTAGGCAGCATACAATAGTTATGACAAGTAACATACAGAACTACCTGTATCGTCATTATAGCTACAGAACTACCTGTA